CGTGAAGGTCTTGCAATGTTTGTTAAACGAATGTGCGCGGCGCTAAGGCGAGCGCCACATTTTGAAAACCACCCGCCTTCAATCCGTGAAACTTTTGCAAATTGTGAAAACGAATGTGCGCGGCGCTACAGGCGAGAGCCGCATTTTGAAATTCACCCGCCTTCAATCCGTGAAATTATTGCAATGTTTGTTAAACGAATGTGCGCGGTGCAAGGGCGAGAGCCACATTTTGAAAACCACCCGCCCTCAATCCGCGAAGCTCTTGCAATGCTTGTTAAACGAATGTGCGCGGCGCTAAGGCGAGAGCCACATTTCGAAAACGACCCTCCCTCAATCCGTGAAATACTTGCATTGCTTAAGAGCGAATGTGCGCGGCGCTATGGCGAGAGCCACATTTAGAAAACGGCCCTCCTTCCATGTGTGAAGCTGTTGCCACTTTTCAAGATTCGGGGTCACAAGCTGTAAGGAAGTCTCAGGCGAAACGCCCGGCCCGCCCTAAAAACTTGCCTCAGGGTGCGACAGGGAGGAGTTATCTATAAGGAGAAGGAATGAAGGAGGAGGAGGAGCAGGAGGAGGAGGAGGAGTCGAGGAGTCGAGGAGGAGGAGGAGAAGGAGGAGGAGGAGGCGTAGGAGGAGGACGACGGCGGCGGCGGCGAGGGGAGAGCGGAGAATCGACGAGGAGGGGAGGGAGGACGACGGCGACGACGAGGAGGGGGCGGGAGCACGACAGCGACGAGGAGGAGAGGAGGGGACGACGACGGCGACGGGAAGGAGGGGAAGGGGAAGACGACGGGGACGGGAGGACGACTGCGACGACGAGGAGGGGGGGAAACGACGGCGAACGAGGACGACGACGATGCAGGGAGGGAGGATGATTCTGGATCAACCCTTTGAGGCCTTTCCGCCTCTGTTTGAGCACCCGACGGCCGCCGAAGGCCTGCAGAGATTTGAGGATCTTTCCTAAGGGATCTCTGAAGGAGGATGGGCAGGAGAAGTAGGATCTGCAAGAGCGCCCTGGAGTCCATAGAGACTCAGGACCCCCTGGGATATGACACTCTCCCCCCCTTGTTCTCTCCTCCATTCTCCCCGTCTTGTTCATCCTGGAGGAAGAGGGGGCGGGGGAAGGGGGAGGACGGAGGAGGGAGGGGGAGGCAAAACGGGAGGACGAGGACCAGGGGGGGAGGAGGAGGAGGAGGAGGAGGAGGAGGAGGAGGAGGAGAAGAAGGAGGAGGAGGAGGAGGACCAGTGTGTGTGTGTGTGTGTGTGTACACCCAAGCGTCAAGAACGATGTTGGAATAACCCCCCCCCCAAGCTCCCTCTTCACAGGCCCCTACAATGGTTCATTTCCACAGAGGGACCTGCCTCGTTGGAAGACAACAGTTTGAAGACCCTGAAGCATGCCGAACATGATTCTCGGTATTCCAACGCCACGGATGAACCTGACTGTTGCGTCTTGACGAGCTTGAACCGTGCCAGAACGCCATTCCTGGGACCTCTGCCCTGCGAATCATCCGAACTGTTGCACCCTCAAAATCGTGAATCCGCTCAAAGACAGCATCCCTTGTACGTCGATCACGGGAATCCATGAAACGATTGCCATTGTCTATCCAGATTGTGTGCGGCGCTACGGCGAGAGTCACATGTTGAAAAGGAACCGCTTTCAATTAGTGAAACTCTTGCAACTTGTTTAACAAGCGAATGTGCGCGGCGCTAAGGCGAGAGCCACATTATGAAAAGGAACCGCCCTCGATCAGTGAAACTGTTGCAAGTGTTTACAGCGAATATGCGCGGCGCTAAGGCGAGAGCAACATTTTGAAAAGGACCACCCTCAATCCGTGAAGCTCTTGCACATGTTAAAACGAATGTGCGCGGCGCTACGGCGAGAGCCACACTTTGAAAACGGCCCGCCCTCAATCCGTGAAGCTCTTGCAAATATTGAAAAGAATGTGCGCGGCGCTAAGGCGAGATCCACATTTTGAAAACCACCCGCACTCCATGTGTGAAACTCTTGTAAAGTTTGACAACGAATGTGCGCGGCGCAAAGGCGAGAGCCACATTTTGAAAACCACCCGCCCTCCATCTGTGAAGGGGTTGTCAATGTTTAAGCTTCAGGGTCATGAATGGTGAGGACGTCTCAGTCGAAACGCCCACCCGCCCTAAAACCTGCCTCCGGGTGCGAACTGGGGAGGTCATTTATAAGAAAGAATGGTGGAGGAAGAAGGAGGAGGGGCGGGAGAGGAGGCAAGGAGAGACGAGGTAGGTCGAGGAGGACGACAAAGGAAACGATGAGAGGGAGAGAGAAGGAGGAGGAGGAGGAGGAGAAGGAGGGGGGAGAGGAGAGAGGAGAGGAAGGAGGAGGAATATGGAAGGAGGAAAGGGGGGGGGGGAGAGAGAGGAGGAGAGGAGGAGGAAAGGAGGAGGAGGAGATGAGGTAGGAGGAGGAGAGGAGGAGAGGAGGAGGAGGAGGTGAGAGGAAAGGAGAGAGGAGAGAGAGGGAGGAGGCGAGAGGAGCAGGAGGAGGAGGTGGAAGACGACGACGACGACGATGACGACGACGAAGAGGGACGGGGGAGGAGGATGTTGGGTGAGGAGGGAGGCTTTTGGTTGCGCCAGGTATGAGTTGCCAGGGATGGCTCGACTGCGCAGACGAGCAGGGGCCGGGAGGCTTTAAAGGTGAGATGCGTAGGAGAATGAGGACTTCCCCTCCTCCACATCGTTTCCCTCTTCCCTTCTCCCTCCCCTCTCCTGCTGCCCCTCGTCTCCCCCCTTCTTCCCCCACATTTTCTCCCTCCCCCCCCCCCTATTTTTCCCCCACCCCTCCCCCTCCTCCCCCTCCACTCCCCTCCTCCTCTCCTCCTCCTCCTCCTCCTCCTCCTCCTCCTCCTCCTCCTTCTCTTTCTCTTCTCCCACCCCACGATCTCGCTCCCCCAGTTCCTCTGGGGGCTGCGTGCCATGCCCCTGCGCAGGAGCTGGCGCAGCCGCCCAACTGCAAGACCCTGGAGCAGCTTCAGGATGAGATCTCCCGCCTCGAGCAGGACGGTCGGTCCCCCGCTCGTGGCCCCGATCGTGCGGGAAGAAGGGGGGGAGGGAGGAGCGATGGTGGCGCTGATGGAGGCGATGGCGATGACGGTGCTGGCAGTGACGTTTGTGGAGACGATGGTGAGGAGGACGAGGCTGAGGACGAGGAGGAAGAGAAGGAGGACGCCCGTGGCCACGTCGTCTCGGGCCAGTCTGCCTCGGGCGCAGGGCGCAGGACCCGGTCGGTCGGCCGCGCCGCGCGGCACGGCGCCCGCGGCATCGGGCGGGGATGCCCTCTGTCCCCGGCGCTTGGGCGTCGAGGCCTCGCCTCCTCTCGGCGGCGAGCTCCAGACCCCCACCCCTCGCCGATCCGCGATCCAGGCGGCTCGATGGAGGAGGGGGAGAGGGAGGAGGAGGAGGAGGAGGAGGAGGAGGAGGAGGAGGAGGAGGAGGAGGAGGAGGAGGAGGAGGAGGAACAGAGGGAGGGGGAGGAGGGCGGCGGGGGCAGGGCCCGGAAGGCGTCGAGCACGCGGCGACGCCCTGGCCCCGCCCCCGCCTCCCATCGATGCTTGGAGAGGCCGTGGCTGGCGAAGGGTAGGGTTCGGATGGCGCCGCTGCCCCTCGTCGCGGCCCCACCTCGACGGACGTCTTGATGTGCTGCAGTCTTCGGCCTGCGCGGGCCATGCCCGAGCCCCAGGACCGTCAAGGAACGAACGACGCGGGCTGAAAAGCTGGCCCCGGGCAAGGGGTCCAGATCTCCACGGGTCCGTGTGGGAACAAGAACGCGACGTCGAAGCTCCTTCGGGGTGGCCATGCTTTTTCTTGCTCAAGTTCGTGCCAACATGGCCGATGCCTCCCCCCTTGTGGGCAGGAGCGGTCCCGGGGTTGCCCCGAGCTCCGCCTCGTCGGCCTGGACTTTGGTGCGATTCCAGGCGCTCCTCTGTCTCAAGTCCGTGCTTTTGCTGGTCCTCCGCTGGGGAATGCTGTGGTGGCCGTCGCCCTGGTCTCTCAGGGTCACCGAGATGCTCGGGCCGTGGCCCGACCGCCTTAACAGCGGCAAGTTGGTAAGTAGGACCCATCGGTCGTCGAAAGCAGGTGTTCTTGGACTCCCAGATTCCAATCTGCTTCAGGCGCCTTCCTGCTTCAAGGATCGAGTGGCTTCACCTTCTCCGAACTGCTTCGGGGGCGGGCGGAGTCCAATCTACTGTCAACGCCTTCCTGTTTCATGTTTCTATACTTCTTTCGACCGGTGGTGATGGGCCTGTTTTCCACCACCACCACCACCACCAGAAGCTGGAGGGGGAGGAGGAGGAAGAGGAGGAGGAGGAGGAGGACGACGAAGAGAACGAGGAGGAGGCGGAGGAGGAGGAGGAGGACGACGAAGAGAACGAGGAGGAGG